TTTCTATACATTGGTTGTTGATTGGATGGATCATGGAGGCAGATCTGAATGCAAGCTTAAATACGATATGACAGGCATGGTTTAAGAAGTGGACTAAATGATTAGAGAAGTAGTCTGGCATACATCAGCAGAGAAAAGTGTCATTTCACCAGAAGTTATGAAATTTTGATTTTAAGGGGTCATATGATGCGATTTCAATTTTTCCTTTCTCTTTGGAGTGTTACAAGCCCTTGGTGCATAAAGAAGACTTCCAAAAGAGGACGATATCCGCTTCGTCATGTCTAGAGCTGATCCGTGCTAGTCGCTGAGGAAATACATCAACTTCGCGCTGTGGATCACCGGATAGGCTTTCCCCGTGGACGAAGCGGAGTCCAGCCCGGAGTCGTCGAATCCGCCGGCCGCACCGTTCTCAAGCCCGTCCAGCGCCCGCCTCTGCTCACTCAAGATAATAATAATGTGTGACGCGGTTTCGTTGTGAAAGCGAAACTACTTTGTTTGGCCTTCCAAAAGAGGACACGACTAGAAATCAGTGGTTAAGTTGTATTTACAACACTGTTCCAGAACAGTTTAACCCAAATATTCAGATGTGTCCAGTGCGTTTTATGGAGGACTGTTTCCTGATCCTGGTAGAGTAGACTACAATGCTGGCTGTTCTGACTCACAGACTGTAAGTACGTTTTTTTTTCAGACTGATGAGCTTTGTAAAAATCGATGTGTTTCAGAACATAGAGGAGAAACAATAATGTACAGTATGTGGAAAATAATGTGTTTTTTTAACCTTAAACCACATAAACATTTCATTACACCAAATACACAACATAATGTTCTTTTTAGCAACATCATATGACCCCTTTAAATTACGAGGTCAAATTTTTTTTTTTAAATAAAATATATCCTTATTGCGAACATAAACATTTACAATAAGATCAATAACATGCATTTAGAAAATAGGGTGATTCCTCGTGAATCAACGACTTAAACCTACTTGGTTAGACTTGTGTGGCGGTGATGAATGGTCTCCAGGCATCTGGTGTGGCCCCTTTTGAACTTTACACAAATATATGTCATTTCCGTTTGCAACCGTCCGCCATTTTGAACAGGCTGGGCTGGTATGTGGAACGGAACAGACGAAAGAGAGAAAAAGTCTGTTCTCTGCTCCGTGTTTGTATTGAATTGACATAACAGTCTATCCAAATCGTGTATTGAAGAACGAGCTCATGGAGTGGACAGAAACAGCCCTGTAGCCTGTATTAATCCAGTTGAAGACACATGGTGCGGATTCTCAGGATGAGTTGCCGAAATCCACCGGCGGCGGCAGCGGCGCGAAGGACTGCAGCATCTGCCCGGGCCGAATAAACCACAATCTGTCTCTGTCCTCTCACCCTAACTACTAATTTGTCCTGAAAGCAAATCGCTTGAAGGGAATTCCATGCGAGACCGTGAAGTAAAGCAGGTAATGTGTCTTTAAAAACGTCTGTTTTTCTTTCTCTGGCATCGGTGCTTTTGTGTGGAGTTCAGACAGTGTGCACATCAAACATCCCGTGTGGCTAAGCTAACGCGCTAACTGCATACATGTACACGAAGTAACAATTGTCTTGTTATCGCTAAACTAGGTTTGTTTTTAAATGAAATTATACATTTGAAACACTTCCCACCCATTTGAAAGTTGGTACGTGCTGGTCAGGGCAACGCCAACGTAACCTGTTAAAATAAATGTGTTATTATTTCGCTGAGCCCATCAAAAAGGCCTGATGTGGCCTGTATTGTCTAGTGCAGTGGCATTCATATGAGCAGCAGTCCCAGTTGCAGGGCTGCATGCATGCATTTTGTTTCAGGAGTCAGAGTTATATAAGAGAGGTTTGTTTACATTTTGCAAAATCTATCATCACACCATTGACCCTAGAGTGTTGCATGTATAGTGTGCTTCATTTACCATAACTTATTGTCATTGGCTTACTGTATGTCCAAGGATGAGGATGTTAAGTCCTCTGATAAGTTGGCTGCACTACTTTTATAATAACTGTACATTTACATTTAAATGTATTTGTTGATTACGATACAATATTTGGAGTGCACAATGACAAGTTTAAGATGGATTTGTACCTAAGCTAGAACAGAAGTGAAATGCAGAAAAGATAAGTGAACTTTTTTTAAATGGTTGTTAAGTGCTTGTGGAAGACGTGTGTCTTCAAATGCTTCTGATGTGATGTATCAGCAGAATTGTATTTTTCATTTGGGTAATAATGTATGCACATTTACATACTGATTGTTTTGTCGGTTTCATTTGTTTTTTTTTAATTGTTGTTGCTTTATTTTTCAGTCTTAAGTCTTTTTGAGTATAACTTAGTGTAACTTGACCTCTATCTTGACTATTGTACTGACACCACACTGCCCTTAGAGGTCACTGTCTATAAAATGAATGTCATTCATTAATACAGATTATAATTTGCACAACATGTTTATGGCAGCTGCATCTTGCCAAGTCAACTAAAAACTTTTATCTACAACAGTCCTAAAACCTGTTGATGGTCATGTTAGCTTGACTAATAACTCCTAGTTAATTAAAAATGTTGTTTTCCCAGTTCCCACATACACTTAGTTACATGATTAGTATGCTATTATACAGTTTTGAGAAGTATTATGCAGAATTTACATGGTGCTATTGCATTCATGGAGGGCATGGTTGCTCAAGATCTTTAAATTAATGGATGTCCATGTGGTGCCATTTGTGCTCTTAAAATGTTGAAAGTGCACTGATTTAGTCTAATTTTGATAAAACATTTGGTAGTGGACATTTAACATAGGGGGTTTGTATTCGCAAATATTGTAGTGAACAAGGAGAGACTGAGGCACGTGGACTGTAACGGATGTCGTTTTGAATTTGCTCTGCTGGTCCTGTGGTTGCTAATCTCTTACAGTCATTTGTCACCATTTCCCCAATACATGGCTGGCCGTCCCAGCAGATAAACTCCGTGAGGACAAAACAGAAGAAAAAAAAAATTACCCACCTGCCACTCAGAGTTTGTTAGTTCAACGTTTCAAACATTTTTTATGCACACACCATATCTGTTAAGTCTTTTTTTTAATCAAGCTCTTGCTCTTGATATTTGTGCATAGATGTTTTCAGGATCTAAAACTGCAAAAGTCTGAGAAAAGAGAGATTTATTAATTTTACAAACATGTATCTGTGAGCAGTGTTCAGATTCAAGACTGAACGTCTGGCAGTTTGTGCAAGCCTTTGCAAATTGTGAATTTTCTGATTAATGAGTCAACCAGGGGTCAGGATCCACAGATGTTCATGGTTCCTCCTGAGAAGTGATCTGTTCATCTCTCTTGCACATGACTAATGATCAATCATGCAATGATTTGGCCCTAGTATATGCAAGTATGCAAATAATTATGTATTTCTGGAATTGCTCCATGAAGTATAAAAGTTTATTTTAAGGCCTTGCTGGGGAACAAAAATTGCAGGTGCTTGAGTTATGTTTGCAATTTTCTTCTAAACCACAAAGATACCAAAAAAAACAAAACAGATACTACTAATGCCAAAGCTTTCAGTGTATCAATGATAAATTAATGTTTATTTAAATTTCAGAGATGCTTTAAACGTTTGCAGTCTTGTTATTTAGAAGCTGATCCTGTGGTTAAAGGACAGTAAACGTGATTTCTGGAGATGCTCTGGAGGAGTTGAGAATGTTGTGAATATGATAAGGTATCACTTTCACAGTAGTCTAAACTGAACTGTCCCAACACCTCGCATTAGTGAAAACGGTGGTTATCGAGTGTAAATGCTAAATTGAGTAAATTACTTGTCTTTATTTGTATGTGTAGGTCACAGAACATACAGGTCAAAGGTCACTGTAGTATATCCGGGAATGAATTCATACTAAACATGATGCAATGAATTTTCACTACTGAAAATACTTAATTAACGGTCCAATCCAGTACATACTATGACAGTATGTGTATATGGACACAGTCAGATTGTTTGTCAGTATATCTTGGTTCTTATATTCTCTGTGAGAATTTCTATGCAGGTGCATTTATTTTGCCAGCACCTGGGCCGCACAGCCAGCAGTTGTGTTATGTATACAGATATAACAGTTTTTCCGTGTGAGCTAAATTTAGGACCTGGCACAAGTGGAACCTTGGTTGAATGTTTTGTCACCCTCTGCCAGCTTTATGGAAAGTGTTTCATTTGCATGTTCATGCTCCAAAAGCAGATCAATTGTCAAAGCCTCTGCGGAGTGGATGAATGGACAATGACACTATTATTGCATGGCTGGAATGACAAGAAGTCCAAATTGTGAGCTCCAAACCACAAGGACTAAAACAGTTTGCAATATTTAAATACCATCACCACATTGAAAATGGTTACCTTTGATAGTTAAAGGTATATACATATATAAAGGCCAGCTTTGGTGTCAGTGAGGGGTTACTCAAGCCTAACTGAGGCACATAAGACAAAAACATCATTAAACACTTCTAAAGCATTTATCAGTGTATTATAGTATTGAACTTGCAATATTTCATTAATATATATATATACAGAAAATTCACTTTTTCACAGGCCACTGTCAAAGAAACCTGGGCTTCCATACCACCTCAGCAGTGCCACAAACTGATCACCTCCATGCCACGCCGAATTGAGGCAGTAATTAAAGCAAAAGGAGCCCCTACCAAGTATTGAGTACATGTACAGTAAATGAACATACTTTCCAGAAGGCCAACAATTCACTAAAAATGTTTTTTGTATTGGTCTTATGAAGTATTCTAATTTGTTAGAACTATCATAGATAGTGAATTGGTGGGTTTTTGTTAAATGTGAGCCAAAATCATCACAATTAAAATAACCAAAGACTTAAACTACTTCAGTCTGTGTGCATTGAATTTATTTAATACACGAGTTTCACAATTTGAGTTGAATTACTGAAATTAACTTTTCCACGACATTTTAATTTATTGAGATGCACCTGTATATATATATATATATTTTTTTTTCAACCTCAAAACATTTTATTATAAGACATGTATTGAATGTTCTTAAAATAAGTCGTAGTATGATTCTAGCACATACAATAAGCCATAAAATCATATATATTTACATTTGTCATTATAATATAGCTGACAGTTTCAGTTTTACTGTTCCACTATTCAAACTACATGACCAGTTCAAAATCAGTGACAAGCTGTTAGAATGCAACTGTTATGGAGCATCTTTAACGCATTTTCATTTTACTTAAAAAATGGGGTGGAATGCATTTATGCAAGAAATGTGTTTACTATAGGTACAACATAATGTACATGCCTCGTTATGGTCCAATATACATTTCCTTCACACTAGTGTGGGCACCATGCCAGAGTGTGGGTGGTGGGTGTAGGGCAAAGTTGGAGAGGAGTGCAAGGTGGAAGGGGTCAGTAGGTGAGGGGTGTGACTGTAGGACAGTAGGGGTCCTGGATTCAGAGAGTAGTGTCCTACATGCTCATCAGGAGCTGCCATGTGAGACATGTCAGGGTAAACCTCTGAAGCTGAACTCTTTTTGCCCTTCTTGCTTCTGTTAGACACCTTGCGATTCCGCGTCTGTATTCCATCCTTCTTCATAGTTAAAGGCCGGTTGACCTGCAGAAAGACATAGCGGAGATTTCAGGTTTGGCAGTTACTCATGTTTCCTTCTGATGAATGTAGTATGAATGAGTGCACTCACGTTGTGCAGTTTAAAATAGAGGCCGCAGGCATTGCATACAGGCTCGCCGCTGGCATTGCGTCTCCATAGTGTCGTAGTGCTCGTGTGGCAGTTGGCGCACTGCGTTCCAGCACGTTTGCTGACAATCTGACACAGAAGCAAAGTTTATTGTCACTATATAATCACCAGATAATGAATTAATAACTCTATTTAATTAAGAAATTCATAATTAATAAAATAAAATTACAAAACTACCATAAGTATATCCAACTTTACTCGGATACATACAGTACACTTATACCGTAATGCAGTAAATACTATATAGCAAATCTCGGCTATGTTATTGTTAAATCGTTAGAGAATGTAAACTATATCATCGCTCCGTGATATATAAAAAGTTGGATATATAGTATATCCTACTTTACTGCATACATACAGTATGCTCACATAAATCAATATATGTATATACCATATATATATATATATAATTTGGATATATTAGTATGTTTAACTTTATCTGCAAACATACTTTATATTAACTGCTTGGTTGCTTATATTGTTGCAAAATGTAAGTATAGTATCACCCACCTCTAATACTAAATGCAACTATAAGGCATGTAGATATTCAAATATAATAAACATTAACATCATGATTTTCTGAAACAATGTGTACTGTGCAAATTTTATATAAGTAATTTTGACTCAACATGATATAATCAACTGTCTAACACCTGTTTAATTATTTATTTTTTACATTGTTTTACATACCAGCCTCTTTTTTGGTCTGATGAGGGGTCTGTTCTGGCCATTCATCTTATGGTACAGTCCGCAAGCATTACAGAGGTAGTGGCCCGTTTAACTAATAAGTAACATCTGATTCATGGCCACATTTTTCACTTTCTTTTGATTAAAATATTGTTGCGGTCTAGTCTCTAAAATATAATAAGCAATAATTTGCTTATTGAATGATCTTCTAACACTGTTTTAAAATGTGCTGGTTATGATAACAAATAATAATTACACATTTATATTTATACAAGTTAATAAAATATATTGCAAACAGTAGACACTTTTATTTATTGGTTTATATGTTAATTGATCAATTAAATTATTTTCCTTTTAGGCTGTCTGGACTCTAAGATCTAGACTGTAACTAAATTTTCTACACATCAGAAGTATATCAAATATTTGGCAAATATTAAAGATGTATTAAATTAATTTAAAGAAATACTCTCTTCTTTATCTAAACACAGAAAATACAAAGCCAGGTGATGTGTTGTGAGACACTTTGTATGGAAGAACTTACCTGCAAGTGATGTATTGAGTACCTTGTTTATCAGGTGAGTAGATTCACACCACTGCACAGATCATGCAGGACATCTGGGGAATGAGAGTGTACTGGTCCTCTGCTCGCTTGCTTATCTCCCTCAGTCTTTGGGAACTAGTAACTTCATTTGAAATTGTAGGGCACCAATGGGTGGGGTTGGGGTACTTTTTTTGGACACTCCTACCATACGGCCATGCTTAGAGTTTTGAATATTACATGGCAGATCTCTGGCTGACACAGCAACTACGTATAGATGATTTTAACAATTTTGGTTTGTATAAATATTCTTGATCAATTATGATTGTGCATGATTGGCGAAAACATGATTTTGAACACAAAATTATATCCTATTCAGATTTCACAATCAACTTTCAATCAGTTATTGAGCTTTCTGGTTCACAAAAACGTCTGTAAGATTTGAGCAAGACAGCTGTTAAAAGATTTACACAGATATGATTGACATTTGATTAACATTTAAACATTTAGTAAATTTGATGAAATCCTTATACTGTCCCACACTACAAACCAGAGGTTATATAACATGACCTTGTGTATAAATACAGATAAAGAGGCAAATCTAACAGTTCATTGTCTGAGAAAATCCCACAGAGAATATGAGAAACCCTAGTTTACAACAACCATAAACTTATCGTTCATATGATTCAAGCACAACGATAAAGGTGCACTTTTGTGAAAAAAAATCATAGAGCATGTAAGTTTTCTATGGCACATACAGAATAAATATAGAAATTAAAAGAGCACAAAGTAGTAACAAAGACTATTCCAAGTGGAAACGGTGACTATGAACAAAGCAAATGAAAATGCAAAGGCACTTTTCCCTGGTGCAGCTCAGCAAAGAACAGTAATGCAAATCAACTCAAATGCTGCAATCATGCTCAGAGATACGGATGCAGAATGGCCCGCCTGAGCACAGGACTTAGACTGTCACTGTCATTTGACAGTCAAAACACTTTCAACTTCCCTCCACCATTGTGCATTTATAATTTTCAGGGAAACTGGGAAGAGATCCAGAGAAGCAAATCCTTCAACAAGGGACAGGTTATTGATTTACATAAGGCTACATTTTAGAACTTCAGCATGTAGGCCAATACATTGTTACATCAGGACAGTTCACCCAAAATTTGATTTACTCACCCTCATGTCATTCCAAACTGTACATTCCAAACAACTGACTTTTTTTTTCCTCGGTGGAACACAAAGGGAGTTGTTTTCCATGTAATAAAAGTGGATGGTGAATATAGGGCTGTCAAGCAGCAAAAAGCACATAAGAACAGCATATAGCATCACAAAAGTTGTCCATGTGACTTATGCACATGTTTTGTGTGAGAAACAGGCTCAAATTCGAATCTTTATTCATCAAATTTTGGTTGAAAACATCCATGGTCAGCATTCACTTTCTATGGAGGAGAGCAGAGTAGCTCGGACATTCTGTTTAAAAATGATATGATGGTAAGTGATTTCTAAGTGAACTAGCATTTCAAAAACAAACCAATAAATACAACACGACTTTCTGTCCTGAACATGTTGTAAAGTTACAGTATTTGTGGTGATAAGGCATTATCCATTTTTCTATAAAAAATTAAATCATCCATTTTTGTATTGAAGTGAAAATGTGTAGAATTTAAAATGCTTGTAAAAGCTTGGACCTTTAAAAAAAAATTTAAAATAGAAAGAACTCTCCAAAGAGAGAGAGAGAGGCAGTGTTGAGGGATGTGGCTGGTGGCTGTGTGTGTGCTGGCTGCTGAACTGTGATAAGAGGTTATCAAGATTGGAGAGGGAGGCTGGGGAATCGTAAGCCATGACACTACATGAACAAACTCACAGGAACAGAGACACCCTACAATAGTCAAGACAACTCTTTTTTTACACACACATACAACATACACGTTTACTTGGTTTTTAAAATGAGGACTTATTTTAGATGTCTAGTATTTCTGTATGAAGCTAATTAATATGACACATAGACTGACTCATTTTTACACACACATACATACATTAAAAAAAGTATAAATAAAAAATAAATTACATACTGTTCAAAAGTTTGGGGTAATGTTTTTAACCCCATTTTGTATATGAAAGATTCCAAACAGTTTGTGACTGTATATGTATATCTACACTACACACTACTAAAAGTTTGGGGTACATTTTGAAAGAAGTCTGTTATGCATTTATGTGCTCAAAAATACAGTAAAAACAGTAATGTTATGAAAAATGTATACAATTTAAAATAACTGTTTTCTATTTGAATATATTGAATAAATTTAATTTATTCCTGTTATGTGAAGCTGAATTTTTCAGCAGCCATTACTCATGTCTCTCATGATCCTTCAGAAATCATTCCAATATGCTGATTTGCTGGTCAAGAAACATTTATTATTATTATCAATGTTGAAAACATTTCTGCTACTTAATATTTTTGTGGAAACTGGGATATGTTTTTCAGGATTCTTTGAAAATTGAAAAGACAAACATTTATTTGAAATAAAAATCTTTAATGACATTATGAATGTCTTTAGTGTCACTTTTGATCAATTTAATGTGACCTTGCTAAATAAAAACTGACCCCATAATATAGGTTTAAAAATATTGCATTGCATTGGTCTCTCCATAACTCAAATAAAATTACTCGGTACAACTATGTACATGCACTCTTGTGTTGTGTGTTTGCAATCCAGGGTTTGGTTTAAGGGGCAATGTGACTGACAACAGTGACAGTGCACTTCTGTTAGTATAATGATATCCATTCCTGAAACCAGGAAGTCCTTAGATCCAGGTGCAAAATACACAATGCCCGTGTGGATCCATAAAGATGTTTCAGTTGGTGAGTGACACAAGACTCTGTGGGAACTGTTACTGGTCAGGGTGGTGTGGTGGCCAGAGCAGAAAGGCCAAAAGGTTGGGGGCAGTTGTGGGTTCTTGGGGCAGTGTTCCAGTTCCAAGGAAAGAAACTTCCATGAAAGCAGGCCCTTATCTCTGCCTAACACAGCCAGCCGAGTGGCTCTGTGTCATGAGGGTACAGCTCAAAGGACCGCCTCTCTCTCTTTGCCTTGACTTCTTATTTTTATTTGTATCCAAAGTTGGAATGAATTTGTTTTAGGTCATCCATATTTGTAAGTGTTATTGCCAACAAGTAGCTTCATTCCCAAATAATTACATATCTCATCCCCAAGACTCATTAAAATCATTTCTAGTCAAAAGTCTTATCCCAAAGATAAGTCTGAGTGAGAGGACACAGAATGCTTCTTGTCTATGGGTTACAGACTGTAATTTCCAGTCTGTCCCTCCTCCACACCACTTCATCCACAACATATATAAGTAAAAAGCTGTTAATTCGTGATGCCAATTAGTAGGCTAACACGGGAGGCTATTCACCATCCGTTCCCAAGGGGAATTTCTCATTTGGTTTTAGAATAGTGGTTTTTACGAATAACAAGAAAGAAACTACAGTGGTTGTCAGATTCTTCAAGTATGAAAACTCACATCCTTGTGGTAGTTGCAGTAAATCGCTAACCATGTTTGAAAGTTTGAGACCAATTTTTAAATGTTTTTTTTAAAGAAGTCTCTTAGGCTCACCAAGGCTGCATTTATTTAATCAAAATACAGTAAAGACAGTATATTGTTAAATATTATTACAATTTTAAATATTTGTTTTCTGTTTTAATACATTATAAAATGTCATGTATTTCTGTGATGGCAAAGCTGAATTTTCAGCATCATTACTACAGTCACACGATCCTTCAGAAATAATTCTACACTCTTAAAAATAAAGGTGCTTCACGATGCCATAGAAGAACCTTTTTGTCTAAATGGTTCCATAAAGAACCTTTAACATCTGAAGAACCTTTCTGTTTCACAAAAGGTTCTTTGTGGCGAAAGAAGGTTCTTCAGATTATAAAAAGGTAAGAAAGAGATGATTCTTTAAAGAACCTTTGACTGAATGGTTCTTTGTGGAACCAAAAATGGTTCTTCTATGGCATCGCTTGAAGAACCGTTTGAAGCACCTTTATTTTTAAGAGTGTAATATGATGATTTTCAGAATTTGTTTCAGGATTTGATGAATAGAAAGTTCAAAAGAACAGCATATTATTTAAAATAGAAATCTTTTGTAACCATATCAATGTCTTTACTGTCACTTTTGTCAATTTAATGCATCCTTGCTAAATAAAAGTATGCATTTCTTTATATAAAGCTTACTGACCCCAAACATTTGAAAGGTAGTGTACACTTTTAAACCACAATTGTCTCAAACATTTGACAACTGTCTTCACATTTGAGTGATTGTGTGTAATGTATGTTGTACAACAAAATGTGAAAGTATCTTAAAGTAATGTTATGACAGATTTTGTTTTACTCATAAATCCATAACCACTATTTAAAAAACCCATGGATGGGTTCCTTCAGAGATAGGCTACATGTAACACTTGAATATAATTCATAGAGAGAGTGACAAATGGCATGTAAGACAGAGGTGAAATTCTAAACTTTCAAAGAAGAGGATGTGTACCTGACCTCAAAGCCACAGCTCCCATAAGTAATAGTGTGACTCAAAGGTACCAGCTAAGTTTGTCTGTGTTTTTGCGAGGTAAATTAGTCGAAACCACGTTTCAGTTGAGGAGAACTGGTCTCAATATTCACTGTTACACTGTTACAGTTTTGGCCTCCACACCCTTAACTGACACAGAACAAGACACCTCCCATGTGAGGACCTCACATATAGCGGGTTCTGCCAAGTGTTTGCCTCTAGAATTTGTACTTTGAAAGCCAAATGAATGGTGAAAAGCTACCCTTACAAAACAGTACTCTGCCGGTACCATGGTACAGTAAATGGTATCAGATAGCCATACTGCTGTACTGCATACACTGCTGTACTTTTATATACAATATGGCAGTTAATACATGTATGGTATATTGTATATGGTACTCCAAGGTATTTCAAGAGTAATCAGGGATCAAACAACATCATTTTTGGCCTACTTCAAAAATGAAGAGCAATGCTGTATGTCGACTGGTATTTTCAAATATCAGATCATAGAATGTAAAACTGCACAACAATTGCAATAGGCTACTAACATTTTTGTTAGCCTACACCATATGTTTAGTTTGGCAAGGCGTTTGTTTACCTTACACGGCTAAGGTGGTTAACCATTACCTATTTTGCCATGTTTTTTAATAGATCCGTGATACGAACAGGACATTACAGTCTGAAATACAGAAGTGATGACCGAGATGAGTTCCTTCATGACCTCTTTTCATTGAAGACATGCAATTTCATTTCATTTTTATCATGACGCAGTGGAGCACATGCACACCACACTTGAAAGTCATTCTTATCGGAAACTCTGGGTGAGTGTCTGTCTTAGAAAGTATTGAAAGTATTGTAAATACTAGTGAAGCATGTACATGTAGACCCACGTGCAATTCACATAAAAGGCTTATGAACAACTTTTCCAGTATCCTGTTATAGTCCAGAATAGCTACTTTTGCAAGAACAACAAAGACATTAATGCTACCATTCAAACGTTTGGTATGACTATATGGTATCACTATCACTTTAATTTTGATGTTTCTGAAAGTGTGATACTTTTATTCACCAAGGTTGCATAATATTGATTTAAAAATACTGTAAATAAGTTTAAATTCCTTTTTAAAGGATTACAGAATAAAGTATATGTATGGAGTAATGGCTGCTAAAAATGTAGAGCTTGTCCATCATAAAGAAATGATCATGTTTTAAAAAAATAATCATAATAAATAAATACTTATTTAAAACAGTTATTCTGATTCAACCTATTAGTGTTTTTTGTTGTATTTTTGATCAATTAGATGCAACATTGATGTACAAAATAATTTTGTTTTAAAAATGTTTCAAAAGTGATTGCAAACTTTTGAATACCAGTGCATGTGTGACCCCAAAAACAAAGAACATTGTACTGTTAAACAAAAACAAGGAAGTACAGAAAAAAAACTAAAAGCAGTGTTACTCTCTAAACAAGAAAAACCTCAACAGCTGCTTGTGTTTCAAGAAGTTTGGCATATTTACAGAAGAAGCTGGTTCTGTAACGCAATGTTAATGCCTTGTAGGTAGTTAATTTACCAGTTAATTCTCTGGTCATTTAGTTTTCCGTTTCCTTTTGTTTGAACAGAGTGGGAAAATCTTCATTTATGACCCGGTTTGTCGACCATCGCTTTACTAATTTGTATTGTGCCACAATTGGGGTAGATTTCCTTACTAAAGAAATCACTATTGATAAAAGATCAGTGATTCTTCAGGTGAGATACATTTACATTCATTTATGTTAAACCAACAGTTTTTCAAATTAAAAGCAAACTTAGAAAATCATTCACTTCATGTCATACACAGGATCCACATATAGTTTTCATCACAATAACATGGGTTACATCTCAACTGACCAAATAGGGCTGTACAAACGGTGTCATGCAATACTCAGCTGTTTTTGCACCAGATCTGGGACACTGCAGGAACAGAGAGGTTTCACTCCCTGGGTACCACACTATATCGTGGAGCTCACTGCTGCCTCCTAGTGTTTGATGTTACCTCGTCCATCTCCTTTGATGCACTAGAAGTCTGGAAGAAAGAGTTCCTGGTGCAGGCATGTCCTTCGGACCCCTCTGCATTCCCTTTCATAGTGCTCGGCAATAAAATTGACTTGGATTATCGTGAGGTTAGTCATCTCCAGTGTTGGGGGTAACGCATTACAAGTAACGCGAGTTACGTAATCAGATTACTTTTTTCAAGTAACTAGTAAAGTAACGCATTACTTTTTAATTGACAAGAGAATATCTGAGTTACTTTTTCAAGTAAGTAACGCAAGTTACTTTTTTTTTAATTTATTGATTGACAGCTCTCCTGTCCCCATGTTGAGAGAAATCAGATGTTACTGTAGTTCTAAAATAAATATGAATATGCATTAATTCATCTCACTCACAAAAAAACCCCACAGATTCAGTATTCCTCAAAATGAATAAAAAATAATGCAACTCACAATATGACGCAAACCTGCAATAATTAAATGTTAAACAACACAAATATCCTTTATTTATTTAATCCCATTCTATTTGCTTCTGACCTTCGATGATCCAGTTAAACCGTACTAATAAGCACAAATTACTCTAGACAAACATTTGTCTTTTTTTGTGTGTTGAAGTTTCTTCTTCTGCATTCTACTGTACGGACGTAATTTTACTTTCCCTTCAGCCTGAGGCTTATTCATTTCACTTTCAGTGTGAAAAGGCTTTTATATTTGCCAAAAAAATAACTTTTTATTTTAAGAACAAACAAGCAAGCCCTGTGCATATTTAAAAGTTACGCAAAAGTAACGTAACACATTACTTTCCATAAAAAGTAACTAAGTAACGTAATTAGTTACTTTTTATGGAGTAACGCAATATTGTAATGCATTACTTTTAAAAGTAACTTTCCCCAACACTGGTCATCTCTATTGAATTATGAGCTAAAAGATCCAGTGACTTTGCTTAATAACTGATAACAGGATTTGATTGACAGGTGTCCCCTAACAAGGCCCAGCAGTGGTGCAGTGAAATCGGAGCTGAATATTTTGAATGTAGTGCCAAGGAAGACATTGGAGAGACGCTAGTCAGGCCGCCTAACGGAACATTTAATACTAAGCCTGACCAAAACAGATGCAGTATTAAGTTATAGTTGTTTGTGTCGCACTCTCTGCAGCTCAAAAGTCACCATGTGGAGAATGGAGAAGACATCCAGATTATACAGAAACAACAGGAGAAGCCGCTAAATAAAAAATGCTATTGCTGAAGCAAGAACAAACTCCTGTTCAATGTTAAGGCCCATTCACACCAAGGGTGACGATTATTATAACTAGAAACGTTCTAGTTCATATTAGAAACGTTCTAGTTCTGATATAGTGAAGTCCACAACAGCTATAACAATAACTACACAGAAGAACATTTTCGTTGGAACCACTTTTAAAAAACTTTTTTTCCCCAGCTGATGAACGATAATAATATTGAGCCAATCAGAATCCACCCAGCTTTAAAGAGCTTGATTTTTTTGAAAGCGGCAGACGACAACTACAGTGCATGATTATAATAAACAATGTTTTCGTCCATTGGTGTGGAGGCTAATATAGTTTAGTTATTATTCTTGGTGAATGGGCCTTTAATCTATGGAATCAGTAATTTCACTGATGAAAGGTGGTTGCTGAAAAAGTTTTATTTTTTATTTTGTCAGCAATAAAGACGAGGTGAAAATTCACATCATGACAATAATTAACTATTTAAAAACACGCTACTGATGAAAACGACAATAAAAAATAACACCTCAACAGTAATAATGCCCCAAATAAGCTTTTTTAGGAAGTATATGATTGTTTGTAAATCACATTGTGAATTTTTTCACATTTTTGTTTATATATATATATATATATATATATAAAAAACACTTTTCCTCTACTAAAATAAGCCAATTTAGTCTGTGTAAAATTTTTAATAAATGACAAAACAAACATGATTTAAAGAATATTTTCATTAAAAACAAACAAAACAAAAAATAACACTGATCTTGCTTGATGAGTGTAAAAGACTTTTATATGAAAATAAAACCCCATGAAGCCTACGTCATATGAATACTATGCTGGGACATTGTTCCTTTATTTCGGCAGAAATATCTCCATATTAAATGCAAACGAGTTAACCGCCTTATCTATTTAACTTTCGGAAGAGTATAATCAAATATAGCTACTCGAATTCACTACAATTCTGGAAGACACTATGGGTGGAACGAACTCTCAAGATGTGCTACATGAAACTAAAAGAAATTGGTCAAAATTATTCAGGGAGACAGTTTATATATTTCGGTTTCTTTTATAAGTCAAGACAAAAAAGGCAATCAGGAGATGACCAACATGTAAAAACGTTGTACAGGTAAATATATAAAAGGCCAGGATATCATCTTCACTTCTTGCATTATGAATGAACTATATTACAGTCGAATCCAAACTTGGCTTTCACCAAGAGTGAGTACAGCCATCCTCGCCCACATGGAGACATACAGGTATACACTGAACATCTAGTTTGCATACCTCTCAGATAATTAGAGGAGGGGGGGAAAAAAAAAGTAGAAATTCATCTTCACATGGACAACTTCCTTCACAATCTAGGGCAGAGAAAAGTCTACAAAGACATGTTGTGAAAAAGTTAAGAGGAAAAGCCAGACGAAGGGAAAAAGCTGAGTGTTTACTAATAAAAGGCGGTTTGGTAAGGTGAGGAATAACAAAAATAAAAAAGTTAAACAATGTTTTACGATTTGTACATCTCAAGGTTTGGCATACACAAACACAGAGTGGAAACAAGCGTAGAAATACGCAGTAAACAAAGTAAAAGCCCTTCAGATGTTTACATCCTTTTCAGTTGTAGAACTGAAACATCACCACTCAACTTAAGCACAAATACAATGTCTTTCCTTTTGTAAAAGTACTTGACAAGAGAACGGCCCATCCAAAAGCCCTTCTTCCCACAAATCCCTCAACCAATGGGGATGGCCAAGAATTTTTAAAACAAAAACAAAAAAATAAAAGTAGTGAGTTAAAAAGAAAAAAGAAAAAAAAAAAAGCAGACATACACAGGAGAAAAGCTTTAAAAATACAAAAATAAACTACACAAGATCTTCTCCATCATCGCTTGCTAATTTTTTGTGAAGTTTTGCAGTTTTTCCTTTTTTTTGTTTTGTTTTGTTTGTATGGCAAATCTCAGTTCTAGCAAAGTCCTGTCCTGCCGGTAATGTACTTCCATGGCCACGTCTTTATCTGCAGTTCTGCCTCTATTTCTGCTTAATGCAAAAGTGCACAGACTTCACCATGAGGCTGGAGTCCAGAACAATTCCTTATGCAGATCTTATTTCACTGAGCCATTCAAGTGAAAAATATCCCCTCTTGTCTGAGGACAAGTGCTTGCTTTGTTTCCCCCCCCATTTCCGTTTTTTCCCCTCACATGAAAATGACATCACTCATCTCCAATCACAATCGTGTCCACACATTTACCGTGAACTAAAACCATCACAGAAAAGAGAGCTTCTTCATTTGAGCCCAGCTGACAGATCAAACGATACAAATATCTTAAAACTGGCGATTGAATTTACTCAAGCAAGATACATGTATTGAAAGAAATGGGGGAGAGCAGAAAGGAAGACTCTACAATGGAAAAAGCTCCCCCCCCCCCACTCAAAGCATGTTGAAAAATACTCAAAAATATGCAATGTGCTTTTCTCCATTCATACTACTAACAAGAAAAAAAGATTTCCCTAGTAACTGTATTCTTAAACACTATTTCCTTGTTGATTTTGTGCTGTTTGTGATGGATGGTTACAGTTGAAGATGTGTTGAATCCGGATGGAGCATTAGGAATAGTGTAAGTCTTTCTGGTCTTGGAGGACAAACGGAGAGAGGGGCTCACTGGTCCATTCTTGCTTTTTTCTGACCAATCCCTTTCCTGTAATAAAATGTACATGCATTTTAATACTCAACCATAATTCTGCTACTGTTTAAAATTTCGGGGACAGTCATTTTTTTAACACTTTTATTTAGCAAGGATCCATTAAACTGTTTAAATATTTATATTTATACAATGACATTTCTAATGTTATAAACGATTTCTATTTCAAATAAATCCTGAAAAAATATCAGTTTCCAGAAAAATATTAAGCAGCAACACTGATAATAAGAAATATTTCTTGAGCAATAAATCAGCATAATAGAATGATTTCTGAAGGATCATGTGACACTGAAGACAAGAATACATTACATTAAGCATTACAATTGAAAACAGTTATCTGAAATTGAAATCATATTTAACATTACTGTATTTTTGATCATATGCACTTCTGTAATACTGAAGACATGGACACTCACGTATCTGGTGAAGAAACTGCTCTTTTTGGGGCAGGCTTTGCAGAAAGGCCATCTTTGTTAGACTCTACAAAGCAAGAGGCAATACAAAGCAACTGTAAAATCTATCTTGTCACTGCCTGAAACAGAAAAAATTCTCCACCAAAGAAAGCCAGAAAACCTTTACCTTGCAGCCATCGCACTTGTGTAGCCGGGCCGTAACCTTTCTCGTTGCGTGCCGCGATGCGGAAGATGATGGCGGGTTTGGTGGTATAGTCTATATGGGCGTTGGACAAGATGGAGGACTGGACCAGGCACGAGGGATTTGGCCCACAGTAAACGCGCATGAAGGCAAGCTGGGCCGGGGCCGAGGGTTTTGCCTCGGTGGTCTGGCTGCTCTGGATGGCCAAATACACAGAATACTCCGTGATCTTTCCTGATGTCACAGATGGAGGCTCCCATGTAAGGTGGGCACCGTCTGGACTCTGAGGAGAGAAATAAGTAAAGAGAGGATGCATTTGAGTGTAATAATTAATTTTCTTGTTGCATCAATTACAGATCCTGCTGATCCAACTGCATCGAAGAAATTAACACTTTTATTCATGAAGGACACATTAAATTTGTTCAAAAAGTTTTGAAAATTTTTATTTTAAAGCTTTAAAAAAAAAAAAATTACAATACTGTTTTTACTGTATTTAAAATTTAAAAAAATAAGCATATCTGTCAAAATATTTGTAAAACAAAATTAATAATGCCTTTAAAAATTCCTTTTTTTAAATTTTTACAACATTCCATTTATCATAACACCATATGTAACAACAGGTAATCAAGTGCAAATTAAGATTTGAGGTGTACCTTGCTGATCTTTATGGCACATGGTGCCCCTGGGAAGCCCGGCAAACAGGTCTTGAAAGCAGATATTTCAGAAAAGGCTCCGCGGCCACACGTGTTTATACCCGCCACACGGAATTTGTAGGCTGTCCCGGGCTGAAGGTCCACCCTCTTCATCTGGCTGTAGTCAGGGATTGTGCCAGAATCATCCTACAACGTAATACACAAGTTCTGTCAGTATACTTACTTTTACAAACAAGCAATGGTGTAAGGTCTTAAAATATTGTTTGAAGGAGAATCTCATTGTGGCTCACCTCAACATAAGCGGCGTCATCTGCAGGCATGTAGAAATGTGTTACAACCATATTGGTCACTTTGACAATGCCAACATCAAACCACTGGTTTTCTTTCTTCACTTGAGGTTTGACCGTAACAGTGGGAGGGTTCGGTTTCTGTGAGGCAAAACAGAAAACAGGATTTTAAAATATTCTTTCGCATTCAGTGCATATTACCGTGACTCTTTACTCATGAAACTTACCACAGCCACAATACCATTGGCCACTTCAGTCAGAGCTGCAGCTGCCTGCATTTTAGCTGGACTGGCAACCACTGCAGGTGCTAATGTGCTGGACGGAGCCAAGGCTACACAGGGAATAAACAGAATCTTGATGGTTTTATTTTTTTAATAAATGTGAAGTTTTTATCTGAAAGCAGGTTTTTCATTGGCAAAAAGCCCATTGTCTATTGTCAATAGTGTAGTGATGTAAGAAGCACGGCTCACACATAAGTCACTTTCAATGGCAAATGTGACTGAACTTTTGAGCTTTAGACTTAAATTTTTTTTTATTTACTCTTTTAAAGTACATTAAAGGGGTCATATGATGCGATTTCAAGTTTTCCTTTCTCTTTGGAGTGTTACAAGCTGATTGTGCATAGATAAGATCCCTGAAGTTGCAAAGACTAAAAGACTATTTGCTATTGACTGTTTAAATGCGGAGTTTTGCGCATCGTGTGTGTGTGTGTGTGTGTGTGTGAGTGAGTGAGTGAGTGAGTGAGAGAGGGGTCACATCACAGTGGAGTCAGCTGTCTTAACCGTGGCTTGTGTACTGCAAACAAATACCAGCTTCATCACTGTGTCTGTCACGTGACTCTGTTCCCCTTTCGGGCTCCGTCTTTACATTTATTTTGAAAGATGAAGCTCGCGATTATGGTAAGGGGCGTTACATTTCCGACAAGTGCTTGCGGTGTTCGGCCAATCACAATGCACTGGGTCAGCTGGCCAATTAGAGCAGACTGCGCTTGTCGGAAGGAGGGACTTTGTAGAAAACTACATGTTTGAAAGAGGCGGGGCATAGAGGACCTACAATAATGTACAGTATTTTAAAAATAATGTGTTTTTTGAACATTAAAGCATGTCAACATATTCTGTTACACCAAATAATGATCTTTAAAAAAAGCATCATATGACCCCTTTAAGTTACTGATAATTCAACTATAATAATGGTTCGAAACAACTAATTTAGTCGATACTACTGAAAAGTAAAAAGAAACTTCACACATACTCTCTGCTGAGGTGCTAGGCAGCAGTCCGACAACTGTACTTGTGGCAGCGGCAGCAATC